GGTAAGGCATCGCCTTAAAAACATAGTATAGTTCACATGCAAATGACTTCATAACATGTCAGGCAAGCAAAAAGACCTCCACGAAATTAAATCCTGTCTACAAACCAAATTCAAACATGAAAGAAATATCAAAATTAGCTTACACGTATTGATTTGAACAGGTACCATACGTTAAAGCTTTCACAAGCTAGATCCGTTTTTTATATGATTCCAACGTCACACATAATTTCCTAACCAAACACAGTAGTGCAAATGCCTACTGATTCACATCAGCGCCAAAAGATAAGGGATATCAGCTGTCATAAAATCATAGGCTGAAGAAAAGTATGCACCTCATGTTCCAGGCTGATTGAAAGCCGGCGATCATTTCCTGCATGCTTGCCTGTAAATTAAAGTGGAGCTTCAGCCTATTGCCATGATGCAATGCACTCAGTAAAGAAACTCAGTGGAGTATACTCTTACATGAGAAGGCTTCAAGGCTTCCCCTAATTGTACAATCACCAAGGTTTAGTTGATCGAGGAACACATTTACACTGAAAACAGACAAACAAATGTAATACATTAGGCCCAAGAAAATTCCATGTTACCAGGAGCACTGCGAGGACAAGAAAGAAGAAAAGGTGGCATACCGGTCGAACGGGGTGTATTCTAAAAGCTTCATGTCGAATGTCTTGTGAACTCATACAAATAGCCACCAGATCAGATGAGTATCAAGAAGCGGAGCTTCAAAATCCCAACTGGCAAATCAACACATCAAAAGAGTAATCAACAGAAAATCAAGCAAATAAGAAGAGATGTGATCAAACCACATTAATACAACAAAACAATTCTAGCAAATTCAGTCTGCAGTTTGTTTCAATAAACATATGGTTGCCAATGCTGTGGAAGTGAAGTGGAGGCCATAGGAACTACACTTAGTTGCATGTGGCACCAGGTGGTTGGAGACAAAGCCAGCAAGAACATAATTACTACAGCAACCACACATCTCCCGTTTGGTGCAGGCATCAATATCCAACTTAGTAAATGAGTAGCCACTTCTTCAATCTGGAGATCAGTTTTGTGCTACCAATCAACAGCTAAGCAGGCGACAAAACACCTACCTAAATTCAATCATCTGCACATATATACAGCAGCCAGACAGAACCGAGTCCCCAGGGACTCAAAAATTCCCCTCCCCTCTTCTCGCATCAGTATCGGTCACCAACACTGGACTAAAACGGAGCAATAGTGGGAACAAATCCATGGCATCCAACAAACACAACTTGCTAGCATGCGTTGGCTAGTGGGGAGAACGCCAGTGCAAAGCAGTCTGATGTCCTCCTACTCCTACACATGCATTACGCAGAGCATTTTTTTTGGTGGACGGCGCAATGAAAATGTCCGATGCGGCCCATCTGCAGACACTATTTTAAGTTTCTTCTGGGGTAGAGTGCAGATCTCAAAATTATGGATAAACATAAAGCATCGATACTACATCCTTTATTAGACTGCTAGCCAGTAGGATACTACTACATGTATACCGAACAGAATTACTCCTTCATCACAAACAAACAAGCAAAAAACATGCGATCGGAGGAAGCAAAACGGGACAAGTGTCTCCTTAATTTCGAAGGGGCGGACACGCACGGCACCACCGCTCCCCTCCCCCGTTTCCCGAAGCACCGCCGCCGCGGCTGCCACATCTGCGGCGCCGAATCGAGCAGCGGGCGCGACGGCGGGACAGCGCGCAGATCTCGCGCGAGGAGAGGCGGCCCCAGGACGCGCGTAAGGCAGGAGGTAGAAGAAGAAGAAGAAGGGGCAGAGGTCGATGGATCCGTACCTGGCAAGATCTCGAAAAGGAGGACGAGACGAGACGAAAAGCGTGTGCTCCCTGCGCGCGGAGCTGCCGGGATCTGCCTGCCTGCCACCCACCACCACCACCACCGCTCCCTCCCGCTACTTGTTTATCCTCTTCCTCCTCCGCCTCCTCGGAATTTTCCTCTTTATTTTATTCTCGCTCCCGCTGCTCGTGGATAGATGATGATGATGATGAGAACGAGAGGTAGGACCCGCGGGAAGGGAAGGAAGGAGAGTGGGGCGGACGGCGACGTGGCGCGCCCCCGTGAAGTCTTCAAGGCCCGCGCCGCGCGGTGTGGTGTGCTGTGGGTTTCCGTCGCTCACGGTCACGGTGAGGCGGGGAATCAACCGACGGGAGTAGGGAGCGTTATCCGTTCCGCGTGTCGCGTGGCTGTGGGCCCCCGGGGGAAACGGCCGTTTCGCGCTCGGCAGGAATAACCGTCGGCGGAAGCGGAGCTGACCGGATCCCCTCCCCCGGGATGCGCATCTTTTTTTCTTCTTCTCGAGAGTCCGAGAGAGAAATGCGGCATTTCCTATTCAGCGCCACACACGCCGGTTTTAGTTCACTCCACAAACCGGCGCCTGCAGCGGTGTTAGGCGGGCCGGCCCGTTTAGAATCTGATTCGCCCCCGTCCTGTGGTCGTCTAGGTCTTTTCCCCGACTCCCTGTTTTTTCTGTTTTCCCGTGGC